AAGAGCTGCGCAGGGGATGGATGGGACGTGGTCTGGGGGCTGGTGCCAGGTGGAAGGCGTGTCTCCAGCCTGCCGTGATGGAAAACGAAAGGATCCGCCTCCCTCGGCCATGAGATTTGTCTCTGGGCAGACGCTTTTTCGCCGGCAGCTTCGTCTAAGCACAGCACTGATTACAAGCGGCGGCTTGCACGCTTAAGTCCTTTAGACTAATCTCCTAACAGCACATTAACTCAATAAGATCCCATTATGCTTATGTGTAATTCCTCCCCCTGTACTTGGCACTGGTGTACAAGTACACAGCCACACCTCGAGTACTGTGTCCAGTTCTGGGCCCCCGCAGTTCAGGAAATACACCGAGGTGCTGGAGCAAGTCCACAGATGGGCAAGGAGCTGGTGAAGGGTCCGGAGCACAGGTCTGATCATGAGTAGCTGAGGGAGCTGGGATTGTTTAGCCTGGAGAAAAGGAGGCTTGGGGGTGATGTTATCACTTTCTACAACTACCTGAAAGGAGGTTGTAGCCAGGTGGGGTCTGTCTTCTACTCCCAGGCAACTAGCAGCAGGATGAGAGGACACAGTCTTAAGCTGCACTAGGGGAAGTTTAGGTTGGACATCATGAAGAATTTCTTCACAGGAAGGGTGATTAGACGTTGGAATGGACTACCAAGGAGGTAGTAGAGTCACCATCCCTGGAGGTGTTTAAAGAAAGACTGGACGTGGCACTTAGTGCCATGGTCTGTTGGTCATAGGTTGGGCTCGATGATCTCAGTGGTGTTTTCCAACCTAATCGATTCTCTGATTCTGATTTTTACACTTTTTCAGGTTTTTCTTTTACAAAATAAAATAACAGAACGATGAAGTGGAAGCTTATGACAGTAAGCTTCATAAATACCTGTTTGTTTTGCATTTCATTTACAGTCCTGGACAATCGTCCCTGATTTTACACATCATGCCCACTCTGCCTCGTTGTCAGCAGTAGCAGTGAATAACAGATATGTGGTCACTGGGAGCAGAGATGAGACAATCCAAATCTATGACATGAAAAAGAAGATAGAGCATGGGGCGCTGCTACAGCACAATGGTAAGGGAGCATTTCTTTGTAAAAAGCATTAATGGTATAAAATTGTAACTGAAAAGCCAGCCCTCACCAGAATAAGAAAACTGATTTTTTTTTTAATAAGACTCTTAATAGTGGTGGTGCTGCAGCCATGATGGTGTGATGATACAAACAAAGTAAACTTTTGAGCATAAAAGTAAAAAAATTATTTTGGATATTAGTGCTGCCACAAATATAGTTGGTTCTTACAAGTGTTTTTAGTTTTAACTGTTTAAAAAGTTATGACTCACAAATGGCTCGTGCCATTTTTCTTCTATCAGGAAAGTTACATATGTGAGAGCAGGCTGCTGCTGCCAGATGAGTTAATGTGGTACATTTCCCACTGTCTGTGCTGGCTGAATTACAGCTGTAAAAGTACATCATAAAATCATGGAATAGTTTGGATTGGAAGGTACCTTTTAAAGGTCATCTAGTCCAACCCCCTTGCATTGAGCAGGGACATCTTCAACCAGATCCAGTCACTCAGAGCCCCGACCAACTTGGCCTTGAAGGTTTCCAGGGCTGGAGCATGGATCACCTCTCTGGGCAAACTGCTTCAGTGTATCACTGCCCTCCTTGTAAAAACACTTTTTCATTATATCTAATCTGAACTGACCCTCTTCAATTTAAAACTGTTACTCCTTGTCCTGTCACAACAGGCCCTGCTAAAAAGTTTGTCCCTGTTTTTCTTACAAGTCCCCTTCAAGTGCTGGAAGGCCTAAATAAGGTCTTCCTGCAGCCTTCTCTTCTCCCAGCGGAACAATCCCATTCTCTCAGCCTTTCCTCACAGGAGAGGTGTTCCATCTCTCTAGTCATCTTCATGGCCCTCCTCTGGACTTGCTTGTTGGGATCCCGGAGCTGAATGCAGCACTTCAGGTGGGGTCTCACCTGAGCAGAGTAGAGGGACAGAATCCCCTCCCTCAGCCTGCTGGCCATGCTGCTTTTGATGCAGCCCAGGATACAATTGGCTTTCTGGGTTGGAAGCGCACATTGCTGGCTCATGTCCCGCCTCTCATCCACCCGCACGCCCAAGTATCTCTCGGCAGGGCTGCTCTGCGATCTGTTCATCCCCCAGCTTGTATTGATACCAGGGCTTTCCCTGTGCTTCGTGGAATCTCATGAGATTCCCATGGGCCCACTTCTTGAGCTGGATGGCATCCCATCCTTCCCTGCTCAGCTTGCTGTCGTCTGCAGACTTGCTGAAGGTGCACCCTTTGTCTATACAATTGGTACAGTCACGAGTTAATGGCTGTCCAAATAAACCTGTTTGGGTCATTTGTAGCTTAGTCCTGATGAGCTAAGAAGAACCTGGAGTTCGACTCAGCACAGTACCTGCATTTAACTCCTGTATGATGAATCTGGTGCTTATGGGACACAGTATGTGCAGTAGATTCAGCTGTGTGTTGGTAGCAGCAGGGCTGTGACATGGGAGCATTCCTTATCACTGATAGGAGCCCTCTGTCATCTGTGCCACGATGTTTGAGTACTGCCGTGTCAGAGAAAAGACCAGGCAGAGTTCAGACATGTATGGCTAAAGGGCGGCTGATAGAGCACATAATATATGTGTTATATGTGAATATAACAAGAAAATTTCAGAGTTTTGTGAAGAAATACTTAGGAAATAATTTAGATTTTCCCAAGGATAGGGTAGTAGCTGGCATGTTTTGATGGAAGATGCTTTTCTGTTAATTCCTATGTGTGCTGGTTTAAAGGTAAACCAGCAGGGGAAATGAACTCAACTCAAAAGAGAGATTATAGTCAGAATAACAATTTAATAAAATAATACAATAACTATGATTATACAGACAAGCAATTGGTTTTAACCCACAAAACCCAAATGTATAACCCAGCATCCTGGGGCATGAACAGAGTGGTGTTTGTTGGGCCCCCTGAGTCCAAAGCAAAAGGAGAGGGGAAAACCTGTTGGTGAGAGTGCTGGTGCAGTCTGGTCGAGAGTGGTGGTTGCAGTCTGGTTGAAAAGTGGTGATTGCAGTCCAGTCGAGAGTGGTGGTCTGCAGTTTGGTTGAGAGCGGTGGTCTGCAGTCTTCCTCTGGATCCCATGAGTGGTTAAAAAAGTCCCAAGACTCCAAGATTATATATTCTCCAGTTCAGGCAACTACCCTCCTATCTCGAAGGCCTCTTAACACCCAGTTTATAGCCTGAGGAGTCAGGCTGCTCTGGGCAGAGGGTGCAAATAGTCTACTGACAACAGTTTCTGGGAAATGGCATGGAAGGCTATAGAATACACAGTTTTGGGTTACACCCATCCGGTGATGAACTGGTCCCAGCTGTTCTAACTAGGACACTATGTTCTCTGTGCAATAACTGTTTGGTGTGTACAACATTGTTAATAGCTCTGGTTTGTATTTCTAGGGACAATAACTTGTTTGGAGTTCTATGGTACTGCACATCTATTGAGCGGGGGTGAAGATGGACTCATTTGTATCTGGAATACAAAGAGATGGGAATGTCTGAAATCCATTAAGGCACATAAGTGAGTTTCTTATATCTGCATATTCACGTACATTTTCATGTTTATTTTCCTTGTAAATAATTCAATTATACATTTGGCTAATGTTTTGTTTTTATCAGGGGACAGGTGACATCTCTTTCTATTCATCCTTCTGGGAAATTAGCTTTATCAGTTGGAACAGATAAAACATTAAGGTGAGTCAAAACTAATGAAGGAATGTGGAGAATCATAATTCAGTAACTCTTAGTAAGGTATTATAAGCAACAATTCCATGTTGGGACTCAACCATGAAACACTGGCAAAACATATTTGTCATCAAACGGTTCAAAGATCCATTGGTTTGTCTTATGAAGTTCTAAGTACCAGCAATATTTTAAAGTCTTTTAAGAATACTTCCTGCTGTTCATACCTTCTTTTTGTGAGCTCTGACTCTTTACAAGTCACTTGCAGATGCATAAATATATTTGCATTTTGGAACACAATTTGCTTAGCCTTCTGGAAACTGTCAAGGTTTTGTTTAGTGTGAGAAAACTAATTTTTCACTAGGAATGTGTCCATGTTGCTGTAGATATCTTTTTTAAAGACATAAAATTCTATTTTAACACCACAAATTGTTATTGGGCTCCTTTTAGGCTCTGTATTGCAAATGGTGGTTTAGAAAATAAATAACACAAATTCGACTTTATACTTTGCAAGCGATATATGAACTCATCATTTTCTCTTGCAATAAGAAGGCAGAAAAATGCACAGAGATGCTTAAAAGCTTCCTTTGGGTGCCTTATGTCAGCATTTCAGACTTCAGTTTCGCTGTGCTGTTTTTAACCAGAATGCATATTATCTCTTGTTGTCTTTCAGAACTTGGAATCTTGTTGAAGGACGATCAGCCTTCATCAAAAACCTTAAGCAAAGTGAGTTTATCAGTCTAAATCCAAATAAGGTGGAATTAGATAGTTTTATTTTTTGTGTAAAGAAAAGTTGATTGAATTAATCAACAAGTCAGTTAATTGGAAACAACTTTCACAATGTCTTTTTTACACATGCAGACAAGCATATATAAGTTTATATCCTTAGTAATAATAGTTTACCAAAAGGAAAATGTAGTATCACTAAAGTAAATCCTTTTTTTTCCCTTGAAATTTGAGGTCAGGACATTTAAATAAATATGTTTTGGTTTGTTTTTCTTTACACAAATCTGATAATCAGAAAGAAACATTTAAGAGCATAGTTTGACTTGTTTATTCTAGGTCATTTGATTTTTCACAATATTTTCTCAGATCAAGGTAGAAAACTGTCTAACAGCTTCTAAAGATTCTTACTTTCAGATTTTCATGCAATATAGAGTGCAAAAAGTCAGTGTCTATTTGTATACAGATGCACACATAATTAAGTGGTCCCCTGATGGAGAGAGGTATGTGACCGTGGTAACAAACAAAGTGGATATCTACAGACTTGACACAGCTTCAATCACTGGCACCATTACAACAGAGAAGAGAATTTCTTCACTTAGGTTTATTACAGTGAGTACAAAAAAGAAAGCTGTTGGGAAATTAACTGGTTTAAAACACATGAAATTAATCACACTTGCATTTCTCTTTTTCCCATTCCAAGGATTCTATCCTTGCCATAGCTGGAGATGATGAAATTATAAGGTTCTACAGCTGTGACTCTCAAAAATGCCTGTGTGAATTTAAAGCTCATGAAAACAGGTATTCTGTATTTGTTTACTATTTAGATACTTATGGCAATGCTGAGTCCTCAGTAAAGTTCAATGGCTTGTAATGTTCAGCATATTTTACTATTGTTTTTGTTTTAGTATAGAGAGTAAATTTATTTATGTGCTAAATTTCAAACTGGAGAGACTTGTTTGCTTTTAGTATGAGCACCAGTATTGTGCTGTCCATGCGTGTTACAGAAACAAGGTATATACTTAGAATTATTACTGTTCTAAGTTTATGAGTGAGTGAGTGGGTGAGTGTGTGTGTATTTAACCAGTCTTTACTGATTCTGACTCTTCAGAATGCTTTAAAACAACAAACCAGTTTTATTCAATTCAAAGAGGAGTGTAATCACATATTCTCTGTTGTTGTTGAAAACCAAATATTTATCCAAATATTGCTTTTAATTCATCAAAACACAAAAGCATTAGCAGTAATGTCATTGGTGTGTCTGATAGCAGATGCTTTAAAGTATTAAAGCATTCTGAATTGAATCTTAATGAGCCTAGCAAAGTCAAATGTTCCTAATATAAATGACAGCACCCAAACCAGATCACTGTTAAAGTTCCTGCCTGTCACTTGTGGATTTTCTGTTCAAACTGATTTTTTTAAACTCTTGCCTATTCATCTTTAATTTTTGTCAGCTTACTGTTCTGATGTGAACTGCCATGCTATAAAATAGAAACATATTACTTTTCTTTTCACAGAATAAAAGATATTTATACTTTTGAAAGAGAAGGACAGCATCTTATTGTTACTGCATCCAGTGATGGTTACATTAAAATGTGGAATCTGGATCTTGATAAGGTTGGTCTTGTTACATAAACTGCTTGTTACATTTATGAAACATACCAGACAACCAAATTTGCAGACAACCAATTTGCAAATCACTGAGGAAATTTTACTTGAAATCTGGATGTCTTGATCTTCTTCCATGTTATGTTCAGTAGATACATATACACATATATTTATGCACTGCTATATTTTTTATCTTTGTAGGGTTTTTTTAAAACAAACTATAAAATCTGATGATATTATGAGATCTCATCTCCTCTTTATATGTAAAGTCATGCTTCCCATCAGACTGACCTGAGCAGGTCTATGACTATCTAATCAGTTATATATGTCCTAAGGACTGCTGTGAATTTTTGTAATGTTGATGACTGTTGCTACTCTTTTAAAAACACAAACTCTGTGGTTTGGGGCAGCGGGGAGGAAGGTGGTTGTTCATGTCAGAGGAAGAACTTATCCTTCAGAAAAATTCAAACACATTACTGTACTGGGTACTTGTATTTTCTGTGTTTTCAAGGAGTTCCCAGTAGCACAGTTCAACAAGGAATCATGTTTTATCTTTTAAGTTTACCATGTTTATGGTTTGCTCTTAAAATCAGAAATAGATTTTTTAACATTTAATGCCTAATAATAAAGGATCTACTATATTTCACTCTAAGTATCTTGAATAGTTCAAATAATTATTTCTCAACATTTATACACTTCATATGTCAATTTGCCCATTTTTAATTTTACTCCCTCTGGTTATTTTTATACTTCTAAGTGCAATAGTGAAATCCCTCTTTTTCCTTCCTCAAATTTCTGTTCCCCTTGTTTCTATACCCTGTAATTGACATAGTGATCAGGGAATTCTTTACCTTTCTCTGTAACACTGTATTTATTTTGATCAAATCTGTGGTAATTTGCTTTCTGTCCAGGCAGAGTTTTGTATAACTGTGTGGGCTGCTCTGTCCAGCTCTGTGAGGTACAATATCCTAATACAGTAATTTCTGATGTGTTAATGTTGTTAACATTGTGACACTTTATCCTGATATCTGTAATAGGATATTTGCTCAAGTACTCCCAGAGCTGAGTGATACAATTGCCTAACAATGAAGTGGAAGTTACTTTCTCACTTCAAATACTTCAGTAAATTTAAACAGAAATAATGTGTAAATAATATTTTTTTTTATGTTTTCTTCAGATTAAAAATGTGCCATCTTTACTGTGTGAAGTCAATACCAAAGCTAGGCTGACATGTCTTGCAGTATGGCTTGACCGAGCTTCAGAAATGAAAGAAAACTCTGATAAAGCTGCAACATCATCTCAAGGTAACAGAACTGTGTGTATTTTCAATTGTTAATGTGACAGTGAAATGGAATATACTACGTAGGAGGTTTCTACTATATGCACTGGAAAAAGTTTTGGTATTTTGAAGAACTGGGGAGATGACACTGGCAAGTGATACAGATACACTTACCAATCTGATGGTGTCTCAAGCCTGTATGTTTGTTGGACGACATAAGCCCCTTTTCACTTTTATTAAAGTTTTCTTTCACTTGAATAACATACTGAGGAAGTCACTGTGAAGCTTTTGAGACAGATAAGAAAATAAACAGATTGATTGGACTGCATGTCTTGTTTTCCTATAAACAAAATTAGGTCTGAGGCCATTGTAGTTGGGCAAACTTAGGAGGTCTGGCTCCGATTTGTTTGGGTTTTGTGCAGTTGTTTTTGTGTATTGTTATCTATTTACATACTTGATCTTCAGATATTTTAATTTCACAGGCAAAACTAGCATAAATGGCACTTTCCACTGTAAAATAAAAAACTATAAGACTACATAAAGATCAGTGTGAATAATTTCTTGCTTTTTTTCAGCAAAAGAAGATGAAAAATCATCAATAGTCAGGAAAAACAAAGCTTGTTGGACTGATACAAGTGATAAAACAGCAAAAAAAAAGAGAAAAATTATTCCAGAGAAAAAAAAATTGGAAGCTCCATTGCAAAAGAAGAAAAGGAAACAGAATAGCTCGGCATGAAGGCAGCTTTTTTCTCTTCTGTATAAAAGTAAATGCTGGTGTTGCTCTAGTTTTTATAAGAATGTAAACCTCTAACAGGACATATACCTCTGAACTGATGAGTTGTTTAAAAGTAATTAATGTTCTTACCCTAAGAAATTGACTGACCATTCTGAGAAGTATCAAAAGAATTAAGTGAAGGAGGCAAAAATAAATTTATAATATGTAATGTTTATATTTTTCTCTTAAAAATAACATATACCTTTTTAACTGGCTCTGAAAAAGGTAGCTAAAATAATAAAAATAGCTGCATCTGTCTCAGATACATTTTTGTCTTCACTTCCATGCATATTAAAAACATGTACACTTTTCATTTTGGTGTTGAAAAAGTTACTCTTTATTTGACTCAAAATATGATCTGCCTTTGTCTTGCATTACTTTTCCTACTGTAAGAAGGAACATGTTAAAATTACTTAAAATATGACGATCACATTCCATTCATACATTCAGAGAAAACCATACTTTCTAGTTCTTGACATGGACTTATACATGGAGTTTATAAGCAAAATGTTTGGCTTTTTTACCATGTCCATACTTCATGTATTTAAGTTTTTTTTTAAGTCTTGGCACTCATGGTTCACATGATTGAAACCTTTTGCTTAGAATATGATACATATTTTTAGGTAGAAGAGTTTATATCAATACGGTTTTACCTTTTTCTTACCCCTTCCCATTGTATTTTTTCAAGTCCTTGATCTGAGCCGTATTGTTAAAAAAGAATTATATAACATTTGAAATTTTTGCCATGCTGATAAAATGTCACCTATCTGTTTTGTTTGCACTTAAACAAAAAGTGAATTCCTGACCTTCTCAGTCAGTGGGAACAGGATTTTATCCTAAGCCTTATTACAAATACACAGTGGGAAAAACAAAGTTGAGCTGGAGTGAACAAGCTCAAATAGCTGTGCTAAATGTTCCCACTCTTTATTTTAAAGTGTAAGGCATGATAATGTTGGGTTTTGCACTACTGGAGTAGTCATTATTTCTTCTGCTTTCGAAGAGTAATTGGAATTATGCTTTATTCTGATTCACTTCAGTAATAATCTGTTCCTCCTTATTTGTGTAGCAAGAGAAGAAGAGAAAATCAGAAAAAAGATTGAGCCAAATCTGGAGATAGGAATGCAGGCTGGTTTAGGGATGTAAAATAGAATACTGCAGTTCAGCTCCATGTATGCTCTGACACTGAAACAAAGTGAGCATCATCAGTGCTGTTATGGAATTGTTCCTGTGGCAATGTCAGTATTCTCTTGGAAGTAGGCATCCATATTTACCTTCTGTAACTGTTTTCCTTATTTAGATAAATGATTGTAGCCTCTTCTTTGGAAATTCAATATAGTTGATTTAGGTGAGCTCAGTTAAATTCAGCATTAAAGGTATTTAGTTTGAGCTTACACAGCTTTTAATTTTAATGATACCTGAAATGTTTGTGCTCACAAACACAGGCAAATAATATAAGACTTTGAAGGGTTTGTAGACTTGATAGAAAAGTACCAAAACAGATTTGTAATTCATAAGGCCTCTACAGTAAATATACAACTTAAAAAGTATAAGCTTAAATAAGAGAACTGTTTAAAGTGCTTTCCCTTGTAAAGTGTTATGTCTATTTCACAGTGCTTATCTTATGTCCTTGACAAAATGGCTGCCACTACTAAACCAGTTTTTATTGTTTGGATTTTTAAATACATGAGCTCATGGCCACAGACATTACAGTTACAGAAGCAAGCTTGCATAAGCATCAGAAAAAATCCAGTCTGCACATAATTTTAAGAATTAAAAAGCAAAAATTCAACAGAATTTTGGTCCTAAAGTTAGACTTACAAGTAAATATCAGACATCTGTAAAAATGCAAACTCCCTGTGTAGTAACAAAGAATTATTTATCTCATGAGACTTAGAACAATTTGGGAACTGGAGACAGTGAAGAACAGTCCTAACAGCTTTTAAAGTAAAATACACAAACAGTCCTTAGGGGAGAACTCATTTTTTCTGTACCTTGAGTGAATGCTCTGCCACTAACTAATACTTGGCAATTTTTTGTCATTGTTGTTTCCCTGTGAACATCTTCCTTTTCAGCACATTTTTCATTCTAGTTTTCAGGGAACTGCTTAGAATGGTAGAGGCAGCAGTGCAGAGAGAGATGTCAGCAGTGAGAAATCTGTCCCTGTCAGAAAGGGTGGATGTGCATGACACTGGTAGAGTAGATGGAGCCATAGCTGCAAGAAACAACAGCCTAGCAAGCAGCATCTGAGATGAACCCCAGGTGAGTTCAGTAGCTCCAGCAGCTGTGGATTTCTTCCAGTTTTCCTGCTTCCCTCCTCTTGGGGAACCCCTGTTCTGGATTACAAAGTAGAGCCCAGCGAAGCTTGAACCTCATAGCTATCACACAGCTTGAATTGAAAAGGGAGCCCCATCCTGGGTAGCTTAGATATGTGTTGGTTGTGGCACTTTCCAGGGAGAGAGGAGGTTCCTATTTAAACCACTTAAGCCAACAAAGGAATTAAACTGCTCCTCCATTTATGAACATTAGTCTAATTCATAAAGATGGAGAAGTTTGAAATGCAGCTGAAGAAAGCTGCATTTTGCAGAAAGTACAGGCCTCTTATATTTTGTGTCTTCTATTATGAAGAGGAACTGAAGCTCCTCAGCTCAGGGACCTGGCTAGAGGAGTGCTTTTTCTCTCTATATGGTTAAATGTCCATGGGAGGTAAGTGTATGGACAACTGGAATAAATCATGCAGCACCACTTAAGTGAAGAAACCCAGTTTCAGCACTTGTAAAAGAGAAAGGGTTTATCTTTGTAGGCAGTTATAAACATCTCTACCTTTTTTCCAGATAAAAAAAAATGCAAAACATTTTCTTTACAATTTGTTTTCCATCTCCCACTGTTGCATAGCTTCTAAAGCAGAAGATTCATCTTGTTGCACTAGCTTGCAATTTAAAGGTTATGGAAATCCTCTACATCTTCCATAAAAGAGCTGTACTGAAGTTACTGATCAAAGCAAGAAGCAGTATGTAGGCTGCCCGAAGTTGTGGCTCATGCCACAACAAAACCCGACCCCAAATTCTCAGCTGTACCACATAACCCCATTTCTGGAATAGGGCCGGGAGGGACTGGGAGCACAGGACTGCTGCTATGCCCCTCACTGAACAAGAGCACAAAACCTCGTCTGCACTGAAGTCTCTCCTAATAATTATAGGCACCAGGGCTTGCTCGGGCATCCTCCATATCCCCCTCCCGTCGTGCCGGGGCAGTTCCTGGGAGCTCCGCAGGTAGGTGGGAAGACACCACCGCCTTCTCCTCCGCAACCCCGGGCTGCGGGACGCACCCTTCCCTGCCTCTTGGGTAGGTTTTTGGTTGGTTGGCTTTTGCGTTGGGGTTTTTTTAACCCCTTCTCCCAGAACAGCCGGAAAAGGGAAGTTTTGGGCGGTGCGTGGCTCCTTCACCTCCTCTTCCGCCGCCTGCTCCGCCCCCAGTTGCTGCGGAGCGGGTCTATCGGGCAGGTGAGACCCCGCAGCATCCCTGTCACCCCCAGGGCTGCCTTCTCAACAAGTCGGGTTTCCTCTCCTGGGTTCACGGCTTAGGCTTTGCTCATAGCAGAGCCTGCCACGGCAAAATGCTTCTTCCCTTCCCCCCCCGCCCCCCACCTAAAATAAAAGGTTAAGAGATGCTGATCCTCAACCCGATTTTGCGTTACAGCTTTCGGCATGGCAGTGGACTGGTTCGGCTTTGGCTACGCCGCCCTGGTGACATCAGGAGGGCTTATTGGCTATGTAAAAGCAGGTACGGAGCTCAAAGATGCTTCTGTCTCCCATTCTGTCTTCGTCCTCCCTCCCCCCAATTACTTGGTGTGAGCTGGGCGGCTTTTTACGAAAGGCTTCTAGCTCGAAGTTGGTACAGATGTAAAATTTATCAGTTTGTGCCATGTGCTGATAACTTGCTGCTGTTGGGGAGTGGTGGATTTTGGGCTGAGCTGGTGCTTTGGGCAGATAAGCCCACAATCGGCTTTCTGGTGGATGCTGATATGCTACTTCTGCATTGTGCTCTTTGAGTGAACTGACATAAGTTTCCTTCAGAAAGGCTTTTCCCCTCCTGTTTAAAATACAAGCGTTCTATAAGTGTTCTGCATCTTCAAGTGACATAAATCACCATTTTTTTCCCCTTAGAGATTTATTCCCATCTTAATCTTTGACAATAATGGTGTACTGCAAGCTGCAGAGAGTTTTCTGAAGGATCCTTTCTCCAAGTAGAGCTGAACAATGCAAATCAGTCCTTAAACTTGTTCCTTTTCTGGGCTCTTCATCATAAGCTTACCCTCTGACCTACTGTTTTCATTTCCTGGCCTCTTCCTGAGTTACCCTCCTCCAGACAGAACTGAAGCTTAATTCCTGCAACAGTCTCTTTCAGCTTTGAAAATCCCTAAGCTGTCCTAGCTTTTATGATAGGAAGGGGCATTTCTGAAGTCAGTAGGAATCTTACCAGTAACTAATTGCATCTGTATTTCTCTGAGGGCATTATGAAATGGTAGGAGTCTTTCATGTCCTCTGGTCCCAGATGGGAGGACACGGTCATGCTGAGGCAAGGGAATCCAGGTCACAGGATTTTTGAAGGGGGAATAGAAACTCATATGGTGACTTCTGGAGAGAAAAAAACCATATTGTATCATTACTAATAACTTGGAGAAACCAAAAGAAAATGGAACTTTCATCTGTAGATCTAATTTGATGATCTGATCTGTTCTTTTACAACCAGGTCTATTTACAGAGCAATCAAAGAGAGAGTGATCAATTGATTGATTGATATTTTTTCTGTCTTCATTTAGTAAGTTCTCTGAGTCCTTGTGTGTTGAGACTCAGGAACTTCTTGAGCCAGAGGTGATGTGTTTGTCCTAGTAAGTGTATGTGTCATAGTTGCTTAAACGACGCCTCAAGGTAAAATTCATGGATATGGATATGGTGGATGTTTCTTGACTCCCAGGCTTGTGGAAAGAATTGTAGCTACCACATGTTGGTTGCTAAACTGTATTCTATACAAAGCAGCTGGTTATTATAGTGTGCATCTTTTTCCTTGCACATGGACAAGAATATCAGGTGCTTTCTATCAGTTTTTATCTCTTGCTTTTTTATACCGAAAGCAGGATCTAAAGCAATATTACAGCAACCTTGTTGATGACTGAAAAGTGATTACTTTCTGGCAGCAATATGCAATCCTCCTGTAACATTGAGAGATCTTTATCAGCTTAGTTTTTTAGTCTCAAGTCTTTTAAAGGTGACCTGAAAAATGGAATATAAAAAGAACTATCCTCGGTAACATTAAGTCCTTAACTCTCCAATAGCCTTATTGAGGATATTCACCACTCGCAGTGATCATGCCACTTCATTACTTGGTGTATTCTGTAAATCAACTTAAACGTAGTATCCTTTATTTTCTGGTAGCTTTATACCAAGGATCTGATTCAAAGTTTAGGTGAGTCCAGGGAACATTCTTCCAAAGTCTGCAGTTACCTTTGGATCAGATCTCAGGTGTATTTAAGAGATATGATCTCCATTATTCGACTCCACCTTCCTCTTTGGCAACTCTTTAATTATCTGAATACCCTCCTGCCCAATTCAGTCCACACGTCCTTTTTTCCCACTCTTAAATCCTTACTATTTAATCCATCTACTTTACTGCCTCTCAAGAAATTTTGATATTACTGTTTTGAAACAACATGCTTCAGTTTGCACAAGGAAAACACCGATTCTTTTGTTTTTCTCATAATTCTTTCCACCGTAAATATATTAATGACTTTGCTGTTACAGAACTAAATACTAATGCTATTTGTATCTTATGCAAGAGTATTTCAGCTGGTTTTTGGTGCTGACCAACATGGTCTCAATATCTTAAAAGAAAAAAAAAACCTTCTCTAATCTTCTTTATAACAATGAATGATGAATGCCTATCTTTTTTGGGTTTTTTGTTGTTGCTGGTATTTTGCAAAACATAAGGTGATGAGCAAGTTCATTTTTAAGTTTCTAATAAATGCATTATCTTTTACTTATTCAGGTAGTGTTCCATCACTAGCTGCTGGCCTGTTCTTTGGTGGTTTGGCTGGACTGGGTGCTTATCAGCTCTCACAGAATCCAAATAATATTTGGCTTTCTTTGAGTAAGTAATTTTAAAATTTTACTTAGAAGAGATTATACTTACCCTAAAATAGCTGGATATTTAAAATTAGTTCCTAAAAGTCTTTGCAGAAGAGTTAAATGGATGGTGTTATATATCTAATTTCAGTCCAGTCTTTGAACTTCACTGCACTGGTGGCTGCCAACACTCATATGTCTGGTACTGATGTGTTTGAGGGATCCTAGTTCTAGGAAAGTGTTAGTAAATTGATGTCTGACCTCTCTGTGTCCTCTATCTGACTGAATCCTACTTTAAGCATCCCACAGTAAGCTGGAGCATTTGGGGAAGTGGGATTCCCCTGTAGACGGCCTGTACCACTAGCAGGTTATTTTATTACCACTGAAAATGGCAGTAGTTGTGATTGGCTTATTTTTATATATGACAAATATGTGGAATGACAAAGGTGTTGCATGCCTCGGGGGATTTAACAGAAAAGTAAGGTTCGGTAGTGCAGCTTATTCTACCTTCTTCTCAGAACTGGAGCTTCCCTTCCTCCTGATTGTAGAAGCTGACTGTGGAGAGTTACTGCTTAGTCAGTGTTTAAAGAGCTGACACTGGCTATAGCACTTTTTCACTGAAGCAGTGACATAGCATCTGGCTCTTTGGTATATGAAAGTCAGAAGTGAAAGGGGAAGGCCCAGCATTTCTCTCCACTTCAGTTTTGTTTACAGGCAGTCCTGTTTACAGGCTTCCACGTCTACTGGACAGGCCAAAAGCTGTGCATGGTCAAGCCTAAGTAACTGGAATAAACTGCAAATACAGCAAGCTTAAGAAGAGTGATACCAAGTGTTTTCCTGAAGAGTGATACCAAGTGTTTTCCTGAATGTCAGAGGCAGTCAGATATATTTCTCTACCTCAGTAGCGTATGAAGTCTTTTCCTTTAAAGTTTTTGGAGAAGGGGTGTTCTACTACTGCTTTGGCCAAAATTACACTGTGAGTTGTGCATATTTTGAAGAGTGCCTACTAATTAGAGCTTGAAGCATTTGAATACTAAAATATTTTAGTTTTATTGTGTGTCAGACTGTGATCCCAGTCTCTTATATATCTCCTTACATGAGATCACTAGAAGTCAGCAACAATATCTGGAGTGGTGTTAGGGAAGGGGCATGCCATGGCTAGGACTGAAGATGAGCTGGGTCCTGCAGGACCAGTCATCACATGGGAACAATGGTAGAAGATAAATGAGTTGGAACATACTGTGCGTAGCTGTTACCACTGGGTAGCAGATGCATGCTAATGCTAAGGATTTCATCAATATGTTTTTCTTACAGTTTTCTTAGTATTCAGTCTGTCTTTGACATACAGTGTTCCAGGGACTGCTCTTTCTATTTTACTGGCTTGGTGAAAGTACATGGCTCCTGTCTCTAAGTCAGGGACAATAGATTTGACTCTCATCTTAGTGGAAGGAGGTGCAGGACTGAAATGGCTTGGTAATGCATAGCACTTACATAGCACACTTCCCTTTTGAAGTCTTTTGAAACATAAATTAGTTCATTCTCAGAACATTACTACAAGTTACACATGAAAATGCTCTCTCCTTTTTATGAGAAGTGGGGGAATTAAGTGCACAAGTTTAGTGATTTGCCTGTGCATGGGGAAGGAGTGAGCAGTGTGGCATAAATTATTTCCAGCCTCAAAAAGAACACATTTTGAAAAAGAAATCTGAGGAGTGTGTGCAGAACCATATGGAGCGCACTGTCTGCTAGAACTTGATGTAGAATACTTTTTACATACTGAGGCATTCCAAAATTTACACAATTTATTGACTCTCTTAGTCCATCAAGTGAAATAACCGTTTCACTTTTTACTTGGTGCTACTGCTTCTCACTGTTCCGTTAGTTTTTAATTCTATTATGTCTCTTACACACATGTATCTGCTGCCTGGACTGTACAATCTCTCATTTAAGTTACATCTGGAACACTGTCTGCCATCATGGGAACGAGATTTTACAACTCCAGAAAATTCATGCCCGCGGGGCTGATTGCTGGTGTCAGGTACAACACAATATACTTTTTTTTTTAACCTCTTGTGTGTGATTTCTTAATTAAACTGAAATGGAATGAGTCATATTTTATGTATCTTTTTTGTTCCTGTGCACCAGTTACATGGGAAGTATTTGAAAATGTATTAACAAATTGTTGTTATTATTGTTTAATTATGTGTTTTTCCTCCTTATGCAGTTTGTTAATGGTTGGAAGATTAGCACTGAAGATGTTAGAAAAGCCCCAGGATAAGTAGCTGTTCGTTTTACAGCCTAATATTTGGATAAGGAAACCTGATAATGATGTTGCATAAATTCAGAAGCAAGAAGATGGAACACTTTTCTATATCAAGACATTTTTCCCCCTTTTTTACATAAAAGGGAGTAGAATGATGGGACAGATAGTTTATAAACATTTGTTTATATACATTTGTTTCAATGATCAGGTAGACCTATTTGTGTATAGAGAGAAATGGGTCCTGGGTTTGATTTTTCCAGATGTGAATCAGTGTATTTTAACACTTCCAATTTTTATATTTCAAAATATTCTGCTGACATATATGAAGCAGAGTGAACCTGTAATTAAGAAAATAACCACAAAGAGGCACCAGGAGTAATTTGCTAAATACAACAGTGTATCTCAAACAGCATGCTTTACCTGTTGCATTCTGAGTTGATACACCACGTCTGTATAACACCAAACAGATCTTACATTTTTATTGTGAAATGATGCTAAAATGTTGCTTTTCTACAAGTAAATTCTATTACAAGCCTTTGTTTGGTGTGGTTTTTTTTATAATTTCTGTGTTTTGGGCATCGGGGGTATTTTTACTTTGTGTTCTTCTCAGTGGAAGTCTTTGCAGTGAACTGTTAGTATCCAAGTGCCGTCTTTCAAAATCGCTTTATAAATGTGGGGGCAAAAGATTAAATTAGGGGCCTTCATTAACATTTTAATGTATTTCATATTGTAACCTCTCTTGTTTCCAGACACTTAATCTGTAAATAACCTGATTGTACAAGGTGAATCTGCAGGGAGCAACACTAAAAACATGTAAAAGTGTGTCTGAAATTCTAGTCCCAGTTAAATCGTAGTCTCTTTTGACTGTGCTGTAAGCAAAACCCAACAGAAGTTTTGTAATTACATTTTTATGTTTCTAAATCTCCCCATGTAATTGAATAGAAAATTCCATCCCTCATACAGAATTTTCTAGAGCCATTCAAGAACTAAAGACATTAGTATCCTTTCTCCAGAGTGCTCATGCTTTTAGACTGATTGTTAGCTAATTCTAAAAGTTTTCTTTCCTATTTTTATTGTGTAGGTTTCTGTGTTTTGGTTTTTGGTTTTTCTCCACTGACACTTGTCTCTATCTAAATTGAGATAATTACTTTTGCATTAAATTCACTGTGGCTATGCCATGACTTCAGTGGAACTTCGTGCCGTGAGTCAGCTTTTATATGGATGTAAATTTTGGAAAATGATTTAATTATTTTTAGGAAATCAGTTGTTAATTCTTAAATTAAGGCTACTCTGTTTAAAGCACACTCTGAAAATAAGAATGTTACTTTAATATTTCTTACAATATCAGCTATCAGCACAAGCTTAAATGAGTACAGATTTTTCAACAAGGTTCAGTAACAGGAAACTGGTTGTACAATACACAGACTGGGTGACCAGAATTCAACAACTCAGAGTTTAATCATGCCTCCAGAACTTAAATACATTATAGAAATGTGAGAAGAGAGTTATGGTTATCAAATCCTCATTTCCCAGGTTGAAGAGCCAGGCCCTCTATTGCACATCTACATGCCAGGTAGAAGTTTGAGTGGCAGGAGGAAATGTCAGGTATTTCACCCCTCTCTTGAGGGGCTCACTCAGGACTGGAGGAGGGAATTCCCTATTTGCTTTGGTAGGTAAATGATCTCTTGAAATTAGGAGTCTGCCTTAAACTTTGTAAGGGGGGTGTATAAGGCTGTTTTTGTAATAGCAAGTCCTTAAGTCCTGGAAAGTGAGAGATGTTGCACTACCTTCACCTCCTGCTCTGGAGAGGTTCAAGTTCCCTTCCCAGGAGAGGGCTCTTTGCTTCTTTGCATCCCACATGGAGAATATTACCTGGGGAAGCCACACCACAGGTGAGAAAAGACCGCAAAGTTCTTGGGACCTCTGGCAAAAGAAGCAATTATTTTTTTTAAGTCTTCTTTTAAAGCTAAATAGTAACTGGTAAAAATACAGAAACGTCCTGTGGCTGAGAGATGGAACTCAGATTCCTCTCTGCCCAGGTGGAAAATCCAGTGGGACCACCTAAATTTTGCCTATGCTATGTTTACTTCTGGCTAACCCTAAGTTCTCTGCTATTCAGGCTCTTACCTGTGCCGTTCCAACTGCTGACACTGGGGCAGCGTCAGGCACGTACAGGCTTGGAATGTTGCAAAATAACACAGTTAGTGGAAAGCTGAGCAAATATGTTGGGGTGAGCCAAAATCTGGGACACTTGAGTGCCTCAAATGTGCCTTAGTCTTTACAGGTATAACACTGAGACCTCTAACACAGCAATAATGTACTGAGGCTGAATTGCATCACTGAGTTGAGGGGAGGAAAAACAGACTTTTTACTCACCCATTGGTAGATGTCACACCCTAAGCTGTTCTTCCAATTAATGTGACATTTGCAGGTAGCAAAATCTCTTTAATTTAGTACAGATCTGTACTATAATGTAAGAATGTAAGTAATGTTACACCAGTAGTGCAGACAACTGACTTTTACAAACTAGTGAAGGAGAACGATAAAAGGATGGAAAATGTTTCAACTGAAACGGTTTAGAAAGGAAGTAGTCATGTGCTGTCCTACTTTATCCCTTGTTCTAAGAATATGGTATGAGGCTGTTTATAATGCAGAGCGAATCCCCTAACTCTTGTTCTGCTTCAGGCTTCGAAAGTGCAATTTGCCATGTCCCAGTTCTGTCAGTCATTGTGCTGGGAGCTGTTGGCACTTCGTCATCACAGGCTGAGGGTTGGTTCTGTGGTGAAACTAATATGGCCTGAAGTATTACACAATTATCCCTTCGTGGTGTTAAAATTGCTGGCTTCTTGGCATTATAGTTATGCTTTCTGACTGCACAGTTTAATCACCTGGAAAAATGGGAGGGGGGAAAAAAGGTCAGGAGAACCTCCAGGCACTCATGACAGGAGGGAGAAAGTCTTTGTTCCTCAAGAATCCCTACAAGTAAAAATGGGAAAATGTTGTGTTTATAATGGCACAGAGGCTGCCTACATCTGTTTTCCTGCTTCCTTGAAATGCTGCCACGCTGGAACAGATCAAAGCACTTATGGTTTTGTGCCCTGTCCCCAGCTCAGTCCAGTGCACAAGTGACTTTGGGTGTTCCCTTTAGTTTTTCTGTACTTCTCCTCTGAACTGTGAAATAGAGATAACATTTTCTGTATCCCTTCCCTGTCTGTGTTTGACATTGCTGTCTTACACACTGTGTGGCATAACATGTTCCCTGCCCCAGAAGCAAGGATTGGTGGTTGGAATTGATACTGTTTTATTGCTGATAGTTAATACAGTCTGTCCTTGTTTTAAGTTAATACTCTTTTAGAAAATACCTAATGAGAAAAAAAAGGGTACAACAGTCTGATCCTGTCCTTTCATTTAATTAAATGTTAGCATTTTCTAATATATTGCTATCATATTTGAGATCCTGTCCTGCAAGTACCATAACTAAGTGGAATTGAGTTTTAGTACTAATACTGGGAGGCATACTTAGAATATCCTGAGTTGGAAGTGAGCCATGAGGATCGAGTCCTACTCCTGACTCCACACAGGGCAACCTAAAAGTGAAACCATATATCTAAGAGCATTATCCAAATGCTTATTGAACTCCATAAGCTTTGGAACTATGACCGCTTCCCTGGGAGCTTGACTACCCACATAGTGAAGTTCACCATCTTCCCCTCTCTTTTCCTTTTTTCCTCATTTTTTTTCTTCATTTCTTTTTTTTTTAATTTCTTATGTTTTTTTCCTTTTACTTTTTTCCTTTCTCTTTTTTCTTTTTGTCCTTTTCCTCCTTCTTCTTCCTGTTTCTTTTTTCCCTTTCTCTCTTTTGTTCCTTTTTTATTTCCCCCCTCCTTTTTTCCTTTCCCTCCCCCTTTTATCCTTCATTTCCCCTTTTTTCCTTTTTCTCCTCCTTTTTGTCCTTTTAGTTTTTTCCGTTGGTGTGGGTTTTTTTTTTTCCCTCTTTCTTTCTTGGTTTCTTTCTCTTGTTTTTTGGGGGGTTTTTCTTTGATTTTTTTTTTGTTTGTTTGTTTTTTGGTGTTTTTTTTTTTTTGTTTTTTTTTTTTTTGTGTGTGTGTGTGTTTTTTTTTCCTTGTTTATTTTTTATTCAGTGGCTGCCTGTGCTGAGAATGCCGAGGTTTCGGAAGGCTCTCCAGCGAGGAGAGCCGGGAGGGGGCGGCAGCGGTGCTCCGATGCGGCTGCCGCTCCGCCCGGCCGGCTGTCAGCCGGGGGAGAAAGGCACCCCAGCCCGAGAGACGGAGACAAGGATAAATAATAATCAACCTGCTTCTAATTTAGGGTTTGTCCACTCGTAGTTATGTGACCTGGAACACCAAATGCTGGAACGCAAATGCTTGGTTCTCTCAGCCGAAAAGGAGTGTCGCTTCTTTGCGCTGGCCTGAGGAATGAAAGGAAATGATCCTGGGGCAAAAGGCTTTTTTCACCGTGTGTTCTGTGCAATCCCTGGCTAGTGCTGCTAAGGATCTGATAATAATCGCGTGAAGAATGAAAAATAAAACCCTTTTACCACTCTTCTTACACCCCCTGGAGGAAATCACTTACCTGTATTGGAAGATCAGCCCGGTCTTTCTCACCTGTTTACAGGAAGAAACAACACCAGCAGGTTGTCACCCTGACTCACAAGCAGAGGGGATTTGGCAGAACAGGCCTTCTTCTCTAAGCACTTTTAAGAAATACATAAACGTTATAGTTTTATAAGCTGTTGAGGTGTATGTATAATGAGGGAGAGGATGCTGAATGCATTTCTTTGGAGGCAGTGCTCTTTCAGCAGTGGTATAACAATAGGAAATGACTGGGATCAAATTATGTGCTGTTACCTGAAGGCATCCCATCAGTAGGAGAGTTATTGGATGCGCTGAAATTCCTTCTGACCCCTCTGTTCCTCAATAAACATGTGTGCAACTTCCTCTGGGGACGGGCCAAGTATTGCTCCATTAGTATGCAGCACCACAGTCAGCAGGGCAGAAAAATACACACCAGGAGGAGAGAAAATAGATGAAAAGCAGCAGGATCAAAGTAAATGCTTTTAAATTCTGTACTGAAATTTCCCTATGCTGAGGTTCCTGCTGGTCTGAGGTGTCGTGACAAGACCTAAAATATTCTGAGATGAGGAAGGTTGGTCCACTTACTCAAGTTCTGTTTCTGTTAAAAATGAAGCCTAAACTAGGAGGTAGGGAAAATTTTTTGTGATGGGAGTGAGAACCCAAAAATCATGACAACAGACACAGAGTGACAGTCCTAAAATCTTCTGAAAATATTCTAATCCATAAAGCTGTTGGGAAAATGGTCATTCTGGTTCTCTGTAGTTACATATCCCTCCTGTTTAACAGCATGCTAGATGCTCCACTCTTTATTGTTTGTCCTATACTCAGCCACATCTTCAGTTCCCAGACAGTACCTCACCTGGCAGCCCTGCAGCATTTACATCAGCTTACAGCCTGTCGCCAGGTTTTCTCCTCCATATGTCACTATTGTCTCATTCCTGCC